AAATATATATATATATACAGAGATCTTACGTACGATTTATGTGATAAGAAATCGTTATATTTTCTAAATGGTTACAGAAACAAACACGAAACAACTGAGAAGAACATCGAAACTTTTAAAGTTCGATATTAAAATTCTTCCCATGTACGCCTCAACGCATCGACAGTGGCCATGATCTGTGAAATTCACTCTCCAATCTCTCCAAAGGAATGTGACATCGGTGGTGGTCATGCCTGATCTTTAAAATATGCAAAGAGGCATAAATCGCATGGATCCAAGAGTCAAGGAGTCCTCGTCTTATTGTACCTTTCTAACTTAAGACGCCATTTTGCTTTCATAGTGACCGGAGCGCCTTTCGCGGCTGATACGTTAATTCAATGTCGCCAGCGATAACTTAATGAGTATTTTGGTTGTTTGGAAGTTGTTCTATGTTTGAATTAAAAACCATTTCAAAAGAAACAATGATTTTATTTCGCCCAGATAATTTATAATACCTCTGTATAACCTATATTGTCATGCCATTATTATTGGTGATAGGGATTTAAAGGGTACAAATTTGGGGAGGCCTCTATTTGCACGATATTTACTCCAAGCAGGGCTTGAGGTGGGGCGGGATGGCATCCCGGTTCTTTTCTAAATGGCTTAAAAGCATCCCGTTACTTCTTTGGCAGTAAATGCAATGTACAAAACTTTAAAAGAGGAAAACCATCCCGGTTCTATTTTCATTCCACCTCAAGCACTGACTCCAAGTGATATGAAAATTCGTGAACTGGTTGAGTCGTTACAAGGAAGAAAGTCACGCAGTCTGACTGTACTAATAAAGCGAGGAAAGCGGAAAAAAGGAATACTAAATTTGGATGTGAGATACTTAAGACAGGCCTGCCGTATCTCGGATGGTTATTCACCAGCTTCCCACCTCGGCGTACCGAGTTGGATCCCAATTCAACTCGTGGGATTTGCGGCGGACAAAGTTGCACTGGAGCAGGTTTTATTATAGCACTTCGGTTTCCCCTGCCAGTCTTCATTCCACCGACTGCTCCACATTCGTCATCATCTATCATCAGGGGCTGGAGCAATAGAACCACTACTGGCCGACGTACCGAGTGGACAGCCTCACCCCACGCAATGAATTAAAGAAAAGTACTACAGATTAAAAAGTTTAAAAGATTAAAAAATGTAGGAAGAGATGTAGATAAAATGGCGACGGAAGGCGACCAGGCGTTACAATCCCCTAGAAGGAAGGGTAGGAGAGTGAAAAAATGGAAAGGGAATTTTAAGCTGGGCAACAGGTATGAAGAGGGGAGTTCATGAAACTATGAAGAATGGTCCTATAGCTATGAAATCTGAAAACTTCTGTGCTAAACGTACGAAAGTTACTGTCTTCTGAGATGTGACACTTTGTTGTATGGTACACAGTATGTATGGTCCTCACAACTTCAGAGTATCAAAGTGCAGGATCCAGCATTTGAGAATATTAAAATTTAATGAGCTAGGGACAATAAAATCTGGATAAACGCAACAAGTACTGTACAGGATGATGGATTAAATGTTCAATTTTAAGTACATTTATTAAGAAGAAAAATATGTGAATCACGTAGCCTGAGGAAGAGGTCGAAGTGTTTAACTGAAGGGGATAAGGACAACCGCCGCTCTATATCTTAAACAGCATTAACTGCTCAAATATCGGACCCAGAATCCTCAGAACACGAAGCAGCCACATAAAATAAGAAAATATTAAAATGAAGTATGATTCACCTTGAAGAAAGCAGTCTTTTGGGTTTTGGCACCGTGTATATGTGGCGTTAACCGACGTTCCTCCGAACGTTAACACCACATATACACGGTGCCAAATCCCAAAAGACTGCTTTCTTCATAGTCACCGCCGTGAAAGCCTCAAATCTTACATGATTCACCTTCTTTGTATACACTCGGCAACATATTAAGACCTTTCGTGAGTCCCTTCAAGACAAGGCAATTGTTATATCAAGGGTCCTTCCTCTTCCCTCACCTCAATTTACTGACGAGTTTATGAATGCCTGTAACTAATGAAAGTGTTTAAAAATGTTCTGTCTTCTACATTCATGTTAACACTTTTGTATGACGACATTTGGTCATGAAGACATGGGATATGTTACAGATATGAGTACAAAGTAATTTTCTTTCTCCAAGAATATAATTGTTTTAAAATTCGAATATGATATTAATGAATGTAAAAAACATAATTTCTGCTTCATAATTAAGAGATACCCGTTTCGAATACAAATCAAGAAACGAATTATCAAAATGTCTTAATGATTTTACCCAGTCCTTCTATTGTCTGGCTCACACTCTATGAGAAATCGCAATAATTTCTATTTACATTTTTTCCAAATTTATTACTCATAGTTATCTTCAAATTATTTCTACACTATATATTTCAAAGTTCTTAGTTAATGGGACATCATTAAAATATTCAATATATACACAATGCTGCGTAAACCATTTCCATTCCCCAATTGTTATTATAGTTGTAATTTATTTTGACCGGATTATCACCCGATAACAATTTGCTCTTTAACGAGAAATCTGTCATTCTGATTTATTTACACACGCCTTTCCTCTTCAGTGCCTTATGTCTCGCACGGACATCCTGACGGAAGAGCACAACCGTAGCTTTTCCTTGTGTGACGTTCCTGTCTTTACTCTCACACACATTTCTTTACCATTTACCATTAGAATAAAACTCGCCGACAACCTTAAGTGCAGCACCAGTTATTCTTTCATTACAAGGGTTCGTATCCCAGAAGGGTCCAGGACATCCAAGTAATTCAAAACAAGGATTTCGAACGTTACTAGATCCTGGGGAACAACAGGAAATGATGGCCCAAACACACCGTGAAGGATCTGCTACTGGCGGAAGAAGCTTTTTGGTAGAGTCGGCTGAAATATTGTTCGTTTCGTTCCCAAAAAGAACATGTCCTCCTCCAGGTTCGCCCTGCTGAACGTCACTGTCTTTAACAAATTTAACAGAGAAGCCTCCTCGATTCGTGAGTTCTTTCGTTCCTTGATGCGGGCACCGTGAACATTTCGGCTGAATGTGTTTGAATGAATAATCTTCTAAGTTCTGGTCTTGATTAACAACAACAGAGTTTTCACGAGTCATAGTGTGGTTCTGATGGTCGACAAAAGGGGTTTTCAGAGTCATATAATGGTTTTGACTGTCGACAACCGGATTTTCACGAGTCATATAATGGTTCTGATTGTAGACAACAGGGTTTTCACGGGTCATCATGTGGTTTTGACTGCCGACAAATGGGGTTTTACGAGACATATCATGGTTTTGATTGTCGACAAGAAACCTGTCCCATGTGGCGACTGTGTTCTGTCCTGAGGAAATAGTATATGTCGACCATATCAGCTGGGGAACTGAAGTGCGCTGAAGATTCAGAGGTTGCCTGAAGAATGGGTTGATGTAATAGCCAGTATTGATGTTCAGCGATGTGGCCAAGTGATACAGCCATATCATCATCAAGATGATGAGTCGACATGTTGTGGTGGACAGCATCGTGAAGATTACTGAAAAATAAGGAAATATATAGTGAACACAAAGAAACAAATACAAGGGGGTGTAACAATACGGCTGAATTCGACTGTTTCAGGATATGATCTAGTGGTCATCTGTACTGAAAATGATAATAAAACTTCGCGTTACATTAAAGGCAAAATTTTGATCAAATGAGCAAATATCAGCTTCATATAATGACATAGGGAGAGAAAAGGGCTGGGGGGAATTACAAAATGAGCCCCAGGGTTTGTACCCCTTATCAAATATTATTAGATTGATGAAGTGAAACAGAATGAGAACATGACATGCAGCAACTCTGAATGCGATAAGAAGAGCGTGAGAGATTCTATGATGAGAAAACTGGGTGTTTTAAGAGCGAAGACGCGAGGATAATATTGAAAAGAATCTTAAAATCTGGAGTAAATGCAAAGCCTAGATTCAATCAAGGTGACGTCCTGTAGCGGAATGTCGTAAACATGGTCAAATAGAAACTTATAATTCATAATAGCCGGCGAACGACAATTTGTCAACAAAGGCCCTGCCCCACAGAGCGAGCAATTTATTATGTTATATATATTTTACCCTGGGCGGAAAATTCCTATGTGTAACTCCAGACAATTTCATTCGTGTAGTCAGCACGTGACATCCTCTGAAGCGGGAGAGTAGAGAAGTATGGTAAAACCTAGTTTTTTTTTTCATAGTTCATTGGATATAGCGACGGGTTACAGGCTGGAGAGCCGGGGTTCGATTCCCGGCAGAAGTAAGTTATTTTATTTTCTCCACAGCGTCAAAATTTGCTCTGGGGCCCACCAAGCCTTCTGTCCAATAGGCATCAGATGCTCTTTACCCGGGAGTAAAGCGGCCAGGGCGTGAAGCTGACCACTCACCTCCATCTAATGTCGAGATCAAGAATGATGGAGCTATATCTCCACTCCCCCATACGTCTTCATGGCTTCATGCTTAACTACCTAAGCACAGGAGATTTTTTTTTATATTTTTAAGCATCTTACACTTTAAACTATTTTATTCACACTCTCACGGAATCGACACATTTATCTTTGTGTAACTTCATTCTAAAGACAAATTCTTATTTCGGATCGCCTCTTAACACAGTCTGTGTTTTTATAGATCAGTGTCGCAGGAAGCAGAGCGCGCCACTCGGGGCGAATTACTCATCTGTTTTTGTCGTGCTCAAGCAGTATGCATGACAAATAGGTTGCGAGAATGTTCATATACATCAAGAACTGTTGGATTCAACAGCCAGTCGTCTGTGACACGAGCAACAGAAGAACAAGTTGGTACCAAAAAGCAATATGGCTCCCGGGAACTTGTAGTTATAAATCACAGACTCTGTACTCTGAGAAATATTTTAAGTGAGTTAGGATTCTTGCTTCACCGTGTTCCAGATGTATTTTCCTTTTTTAATTCAATACTTCTTTTGACAGTTTTTCTATAAAGATAATTATTAGCGTGTCATTCAAGTGGACAGAAAATTGCTGTAAAATATTCGTAATTAAATTTAAGGCGGAATATACAGTATTTATGATATGCAAGACATAATTTTTAGTTTCGTCTGAAGTACTATTAAGGACGCAGAAGCTTCACATGCACAGTGAGCACTGACCACCATGAACTATGATTGAAAGCACTTTCGTCCCAGCCCCTTTAGATTCAACGGAAGAGATGTTAGCACGAATCGGACCTGTGGTTTACTGGGCCCCATAGTCGGTCTGGACGCGATGACAATGGCTCTAACCCTCCCGGACCCCGGTCATGAAGCCAGCAGGCAGTCACTTACTCTACTTAACATGAGTAATGTTTCAAAACTCCATCATTCATCAAAGTGCGTCACAGCTGCAAATTTCTTTTCCGTTTCTGAATCCCGTTAAATTCGTTCTTTCGATTAACATATTGTCGCGTATTGGGCGTATAACGCGACAAATAACTTCACGAGGTACTTGATGTAGCGAATTTTATTTCACATTCGCACTTACAATCACCCAAATTACAGATTTACGATTACTGCTATCTGCAGTATCACAAATAGTACACTCCAAATGCCAGAATACAACTGACTAGTTGCTGGCTAACTCGGAACTAACACGGAGGTAGCTCCAGGACTGACTCGTAGANCAGTATTTATGATATGCAAGACATAATTTTTAGTTTCGTCTGAAGTACTATTAAGGACGCAGAAGCTTCACATGCACAGTGAGCACTGACCACCATGAACTATGATTGAAAGCACTTTCGTCCCAGCCCCTTTAGATTCAACGGAAGAGATGTTAGCACGAATCGGACCTGTGGTTTACTGGGCCCCATAGTCGGTCTGGACGCGATGACAATGGCTCTAACCCTCCCGGACCCCGGTCATGAAGCCAGCAGGCAGTCACTTACTCTACTTAACATGAGTAATGTTTCAAAACTCCATCATTCATCAAAGTGCGTCACAGCTGCAAATTTCTTATCCGTTTCTGAATCCCGTTAAATTCGTTCTTTCGATTAACATATTAACTTTTTATATGTTTAGTTTGGTCCTTAATTTTAGTCTAGTTTAAAATTGGTATATATTTATTGCCCTCACCTACGGTATAATAGTGTGACGGAATTATCCATTACTAGGCAACGGCTAGGTAAACAAGGCCTAAAATCGGGTATAGAAAGGAGAGGAAGCGGAAGATCATTTGCTAGGCAACCAATATCAACAAGGAAATTCCCATGACAACGGGAAGACAATTAACCTTTGAGATGGCGATCTGAATTCTGTCCGCCTGGAAGTCGGTTCAGTCCAGAAGATTTCAGTCGCGAGAAATTCTTCATATGGCATTCAGTAAGAGTTCAGTATCTGAGCAGTAATTCGTGGTTCGTCATTCGAAGAGAAACCACTCGTAGTCCAGTGGGGAATGAAGCGAGTCCTGGACAGTCGTTCATTGTGAGTTGTTATAATATCTGATTGCAGTTGTAAAGAAGTTCCAACAAATCCAATCGTTGAATCCAGAACCCATTATTATTAATCACCAAACCCCTCATACGTCAAAATACTTTCTGTTTGCAAGAACTCAGATAAAGGAACTGATAATTATTATTATTATCAATAATCTTAATACATATTACGCGTGTGTGTATGTACGTACGAGTATATTGGTCTTGTTTTATTTTCTCTCCTGTTAACGTTAACTTTAATTTTTCTTGGAAATTTTATCAATATTACCATTATATAGACTCACAAATTTGTATTTTGTGTATTTCTATGTATTCGTGCTAACCTTCTAATTGGCCTCTGTGCTATTAAGTTTGCACGCAAATAAACACGAATTGAATTGAATTATTATTATTAAATAAACTGAATTATTATTATTCTCTTTGAATATCTGTACTTTTCATTTCTCAATTGTCAATAGCAACTTAGATTTGTGATAATGATATTATTATTATTATTATTATTATTTTGTTTGTTTGTTTAATTATATGCATTCATTTGTTTTCCTCTAATATTTACCTTTAATTATTCCTTAGCTTTATGTTGTGTTTCTCCAGTATGTAACTTCTTTTATCTACACTGTGCTGTGTCTGCAATTGGCCTGGCGGCTGTTTGCTCAGCACATAAATAATAAAGAATTGAATTATTATTGCCTTGGCTAAATTCTGTCCTTTTGTTTTAGAAATTGTTGGTCTTCAAAATTCCTGCTCGGTATATAAGAGACTTTGCTTTGTTCAATGTTTGCTCCTCTCAAGTGAAACTGTCCTTCTGCTAGATCTGCATCAACTGCTAATGTTGTTTGCAGAACACTGACTTATATAGAACCAAGAAAGTTATCCTTAATCACATTTTTACATGATCTTTGCATGATATTAAAACACTTTTTTCATGGAATTATTATTATTATTATTATGTAAACTGTCTTATTTCTTTCTTCTTATCCGTACTAATTTATAATTCTCCACTGGGCTGTTAAGTTTGCATGTAAATAAATTTGAATTGAATATAATTATTATAGTGATGAACACTTTCTTCATCGAATCGAAATATCTTGGACTTTTTAAAATAACCTGCAATACAGAATGTCCTCTTATTCCCTTTTATCACTTCAATTGGTCAAGTATTGTGTCCCTTTTGTCATCACAACTAATGAAATGTTCTGAAGCCGTCCTGAAGATGTCCACACGAATAAGCTAACAGCCTATGGCGCAGTAAGCCCACTAGTAGAGCTGTCAGTTTATTGCTACTGCCTCTGCCTCTGCAGAGGGACACGCCGCTGGTTTTGTTCACTGCAGGTTTCCGGCGTCCGGATGTTGGGAAATACAAGAGACTGCCGCCATTACGGACTGGTCTGTAGTGAGATGGCTGCAAGGCGTGTAACGGAGTAAACTGCGACCATTTCGTGCTCAATATAATCACAAAACTAGACGACTAATTAGATTCTAAAGGGCTCTGACGATGGTGTATAACACACAGATTTACTTGGTGTTTGGTATATTAGAAAATAGAAAAACGACGTTTCGGGATGTGGATCTGTTTCCACCCTAAGGTGAGGGAGAAGATATCTGCTCAATTAGGCCCCTTAGAAAGAGCTAATCTCAACCACTGGACAACTCCTGTCAGGGGTAGTTGTCTTCCACCACTAACCTGAGGATGAAAACAGATCCAGTTTCCGAAACGTCGTGTTTTCTATTTTCCAATATACAGAACGATGCAAAAAGTACAAAAACCCATTAATTATGTAGAGGACTGATGCTAGACACAGCGAGCTAAGTTTTTTCTACCGATATGTCGTTTTACTCTATATGATGTTCGAATATTGAACACATATTGTTGTTCCTCAGCGTGAACCCGAATATAGCGAAGTGAACCAGGCTCTATTGCTCATATCACGTCTGTAAGGTAAGGAAGAATGGACAGAAAATATAAAAGAGAAGTTAATGAAATGAAGACTGGATAATGGAGTGACGGTTTAGGAGCCATCATTCCAAATTAACACGTCGACACGGAAGCATAAATATACGTGGGTGT